AAAAGGCCGAGTGCAGTGGCTCACGCCTGTAATCCTAGCACTTTGGGAGGCTAAGGTGGGTAGATCACCTGAGGTCAGGAGTTCAAGACCAGCCTGGCCATCATGGTGAAACCCCATCTTTAAAAAAAAAAATCAGAAAATAAAAGAAGTTAAGATGACTAGTCTAGTAGATATATTATGTGCCAAAACAAATATATAGATTTTGCAATGATATTTATAGGATTGAACGTGAAAATAAAAATATGTGATTGCCTCTCTGAGGTTTGTTTCCTTCTTGCTTTGTGTTATGCCTGTGTCTGCAACTCTTCATACGCATTAATTACATTTAATGCTTCTAGCTCCTAAAATAGTCATGAAAATAGAACTATAAACCTTTAGACTAGGAATTATTCTAGAAACTCATTCAGATCCTTCTGTAGTTTATAAGCATGATGAATTGAGCGTTCACCCACATGTGTGAGATCTGCTGCCCTTAAACTTTGTTATGGCATCACACATAGCCCGTCTGAAATGGGAAAAAAAAAAAAAAAAAAAAGCTAAAAGCTAATTTTGAAAAAGTGGCTGTCAATTACTTTTATCATCTATAAGTCTTCCTTTTTTCTTCTTTTTGAGATAGGATTTTGCTCTGTTGCCCAGGCTAAGGTACAGTGGCACAATCATAGCTCACCATAGCCTCAGATTCCTGGGCTCAAGAGACCCTCTGCCTCAACATGCTTGGCTGATTTTTTATTAGCTGGCCACTCACTGTGTTGACCCAGGCTGGCGTCAAACTTCTAGCCTCAAGGGATCCTCCTGCTTCAACATCCCAAAATGTTGGGATTACAGGCATGAACCACCACATCTGGTCCAGGATGTTAACTTTGGAGAAGAGTTTATTTATGGAATATAGGTCCTCTCTCCTAACTATGTTGAATTGTTCCTTGACTTTCTAGGTTTTTTGTTTTTGTTTTTCAAAGATGGAGTCTCCCTCTATAATTCAGCTTGGAGTATAACGGTGTAATCATAACTCCCTGCAACCTCGAACTCCCAGGCTCAAGTAATCTTCCCTCCCACCGCAGCATCCTGAGTAGCTAGCACTACAGGCATGCACCACCATGCCTGGCTAATTTAATTTTTTTTGTGTGTGTGTGGAGTTGAGGGTCTGCCTATATTGGCCAGGCTGGTGTTGAACAGCTGGCCCTGAAAGATCCTCCCACCTCAGCTTCCAAAAGAGCTGGGATTATAGATGTGAGCCACCACTCAGTAGACTTTCTAGTATTATTGTTGTATTTAGCTTTGTGTTGCTTCAATTGTTAATAATATTAAGAATGAAGTTAATAGTATTCATGTACAAATATCCTGATCTCTGCCAAGTCAAAAATATAAGACTATAGTATCCTAGCTGCTGAGTTACTTCTTGATAACCTAATGTATTAGTTTGCTAGAGCTGCCATAACAAGTATCATCAATTGTGTGGCTTAGAAAACAGAAATTTCTTGTCTCAGTTTTAGATGCCACAGATTAAAGATCGAGGTGTTGGCAGAAATGATATTTCTGTGGGCAGACAGGGAAAACCTGCAGCTTATCTCTTTCTGGCTTCTGGTGGTTTGCTTCTTAGTTTATGGAAGCATCACCTGAACCACGGACTTCATCTTCAGATGGTGTGTGTTTCTCTGTCCAAACTTTCCCTTTTTATAAGGACACCAGTCCAATTGGATTAGGGTCCACCCTAATGACCTCATCTTTACTTGATCACCTGCAAAGACCTTACAAATAAGGTCACATTCCAAGGGGTTAGGACTTCAACGTATGAATTTTTGGGCAACACAATTTAACTCATAACATAATAGCCTACCTGGCCTCTCCCAAACTTCAGCCAACAGCCAAGACCCTTTAGGAACTGGCTGCATTTGCATTTGTCTTTGTTTCATTTTCTTTCTTTCTTT